ATCCTCTCAGAGGGAAGCGGGATGCCAGCCGCCCCCAAAGGCTTTCACTCTGGCAGAGGACAACCTAAGACAAGCACAGTCTTTCCATCCCAGTCTTGGCATGTACTTCATCTTTTAAATATAAACAAAAATATAAAAAGAAAGAGGGAAATGTCAGGAGCCATGCTTGCCATAAGCATTGGAAATTAGGAGAGTATCACTTTAAGAGCTTCTGAGCTCTCTGCTTCAGCGGTCAGAGCTGACAGGCTGTACCTGGATGATAAATCAGGACTTCTAGAAAGTTTCAGTTCAGCCTTCGTGCTGTCTCTATAGTAACCCTTTTGTTTCTGTTGGGAAGAGTCACCTAGGTGACCCAAACTCCGGGCTGGATAAAAAGGACCTGTGGGACCCCTCAGTAGATGGAGATCTCTCTTCGACCTGTACCTGCCTTCCTTTCAATAAATTCCTCGCATAACTTCAGACTTTGGCCTGAGTGTTCTTGTTGAAGACCCAAGCCTGGTGGGCTTGGGGGGTATTCGACAGATAGGTGGTTTTGTATTATGTAAGAAAACTGGCTGAGCATGCACCAGGGGATCAAGCCAGTAAACAGCTATCCTTCATAGTCTGTGCTCCAGGTTCCTGCCCCGAGTTCCTACCTTGACTTCCCTTGATGATGGACTATGCTTATAAGCCAAATAAATCCATTCCTCCCCAAGTTGGTATTGGTCAGAGTGTTTTGTCACAGCAATGGAAAGCAAACTAGAATAGCAGGCATTGCACACACGGAGTGCACTTGCATTCACGCAGGTCATACACAATATACATAAAGTAAATCACAAAAAAGAATCAAGAAAGAAAATATTACATTTCTCTGCCCCCCCCCACCTCAGTCCTCCTGTCTCTGCCTCCTCAATGTTGGATTTGAGGTTTATTGCAACGCTCAGCTATGTGCTTGATTCTTTAGTCTCCCTGTGACTCTCTACTCAGAACTGGACAGGTAGAACAGGGTTGAGGTCATGTATTTTGGCCACCTCCATAGTGATATGCACTGGTTGTCTCTCAATCCTAGTTTCAAATATCCTTGTTCCACCTGCTATGGAGGAAGTGTGTGTGTGTGTGTGTGTGTGAATGTGGTTTGGAGAGATGCCCCAAAAGATATTCACCATAAAGAACTGGAACTTGCAATATTGCAGGGAAAACTGAACTTTGAACCAGACTCCATAGTATCCTGTTACTACATCTTACTATGTGCACTTAATATTCCTGCCTACAAATTAGAGAGAATATAGCATCATTAATTACTTCTGAAGATGATCAGAAATGTGAAAGCAACAATTGCACAAAACACAGGAATATTCCCAAGTCTGAAATAAAAAAGATAGAAAAACTAAATATTTGTATCTGTGGCAAACACCTATCAATAGGGTCATGAGGGTTGACATAGCAAGGGATGCCTACTAAGATCTGTTTTAACCACTGTGGACCCATTCCTAACAGCTTTACATTGACTCAAGAGTTGCTGCTAATTCTGATATTTTCTGCCTTCATTGGTCCAAATGGGCTAAAGTCATAGATGGGGAATTGTTCTCTTCTTGTTACTAATGAGGCTCAAAGGAAATCTGGTCCCAGTGGCCAAAGAGGGTCCTGTAAATTCCTGCTCTATGATTGTCCCGCACGTATTTCCTGCTCAGAAGATCAAGACTTCTCACCTGCTTAGGACCAGCCCATGTTACAAAGACATCACACTCCTGCCCAGTTAGGTCAAGGTAGACAGCAGTGGACAGTACCGACCTCCCCAGGTAAGGTTACAGCAGTCTAAGGTGGAAGGAAAACTAAGCAACATAAGTAGACACAGCTAGATTTAGAGACAGTATATTTTCATGTTCATTAAAACAACAGGACTCAGGGATTCATGGAGGAAAAGCATCAAAGCTGAGTATTGGAGGGTGGACATATGGGTGTAGGGCACATCCTGTGTTAACAACTCTGAACTGATTTGTAAATTTGGTCCTGCCTAGAGCCCTATCACATTCTGACGATCCCATCTAGGTTTTATATTCAGTGTCCTCTATTTACTTGGGCTCAGACAGACCAGGAGAAAAATGAGTCTCCTGTCTCCTAGTTCCTCCTCCTGGGACTCTCCAGGCAGCCCCAGCAGCAGCAGCCCCTCTTCCTGCTCTTCCTCATCATGTACCTGGCCACTGTCCTGGGAAACCTGCTCATCATCCTGGCCATCAGCACTGACTCCCGCCTGCACACCCCCATGTACTTCTTCCTCTGCAACCTGTCCTTTGTGGATGTCTGCTTCTCCTCCACCACTGTCCTCAAGGTGCTGGCCAACCACGTACTCAGGAGTCAGACCATCTTCTCTGGGAATCTCACACAGATGTATTTTCTCTATGTGTTTGAGAACATGGGCAATTTTCTCCTGGCTGTGATGGCCTATGACTGCTTTGTGGCCATATGCCACCCCTTATACTACACAACAAAGATGACTCACCAGCTCTGTGCCCTGCTTGTGACTGGATCCTGGGTCATTGCCAACCTGAATATCCTATTACACTGTGCTGATGGCTCCGATCTCATTCTGTGCAGACAATATCATCCCCCACTTCTCTGATGTGACCCCCACCAAAACGCTCCTGCTCAGACACACACCTCAATGAGGTGGTGATTCTTTCTGAGGGGTCCCTGATCATGATCACCCCATTTGTTTGTTGATGACTCAACTCTCATTCTGTGCAGACAGTGTCATCCCCCACTTCTTCTGTGATGCGATCCCCCTCCTGAAACTGATGGCTGGATCCTGGGTCATTGCCAATCTGAATGTGCTATTACACACACTTCTGATAGCTCGACTCTCATTTTGTGCAGACAATGTCATCCCCCATTTCTTCTGTGATGTGGCTCCCCTTCTGCAGCTCTCCTGCTCAGACACACACCTCAATGAGATGATGATTCTCATGGAGGGGTCCCTGATCATGATCACCCCATTTGTCTGCATCCTGATCTCCTACATCCACATCATCTGTGCTGTGCTGAGAGTCCCATCCCCAAGGGGAAGATGGAAAGCCTTCTCCACCTGTGGCTCCCACCTGGCTGTGGTCTGCCTCTTCTATGGCACCATCATCTCTGTGTATTTCAATCCTTCTTCCTCATACTCAACTGAGAAGGACACAGCAGCCACTGTGCTGTACAGAGTGGTGACCCCCAAGCTGAATCCTTTTGTCTACAGTCTGAGGAGCAGGAACTTAAAAAGGGTTCAATGCAAAGTTTTCCACAGAAAATCATTTTCTTTCTGAAGACAGCAGATATGTTGATTCTTACTCGCAAGTCATACTTTTCTCTGAGTACTGTGCAGCAAGTGCTGCATTACAGTCTGGAAACCAGCATGGGACACCTGTGACTTAGACACTTAGTAGACAGTGGTTGCTCTTGTATTTGTGGACTCCTAGTCATTGGGCATCCTGGTCAATTTATGAAATATTTGGATATCATATTCTTCTAGGGATGGACCCCCGGGGATTTGCATGATTTGCATATGCAAGACGAGCAGTGTACCATTGAGCTATATGCCTATTCTTGAGAATTCTTTTTCCCATTTTGTCCCTTTTTTTTTTTTTGAGATAGAGTCTTCCTATATAGCCTTGGTTGTCTCAGAACCAGGACATGGACCAGGTTGGTCTGGAAAGTACAAAGATCTGTTGGGATTTGAATATTCAGGGATGGCAGGTACAGGCTGCCCCCACCCCCCAACTCCCTAATGAGAGCAGCCAAGGGAATATTGGCAAGGCTTATCCTGGCTGACCCAGGGGCAAGTCACAGGTAGTTCGGCTCCTGGAGAGCAGCTAACAGGATATTGGCAAGGCCTATCCTAGCTGAACCTGTACTGGTCAGTCCCTGGCAATCAGTTTCCAGGGGCATGTCTTTCTCTTAGTAGTTCTGCTTGTGTTCTGCTGATACAATTACATATGCTAAATGAAACTATTCTCAGGCACAAGCCTTTGTCTTAGAAGTTCTGCTTGGGTGCCGCTGATGCAAATACATGTGAATAATGAAACTATGTGGTTCAAAGGAACTTGTGGCTTTGTGCTGTGTTTCTATAGTGGATTTTTCCTGCTTTGAGGCAAGGTATAAAAGCATTGTTATCCTGCAATAAAGTACCTGCATGGTCATCAGCCTGCAGGTCCTCCTTCCCCAGCTGTTTCTGTATCTGTGTCTTTTAATAAAAATCCCCTACCCTTTCCACTCAGGTTTTAGGATCCTCACAGCTGGACTGCAGCACCTAGTGCTCAAACAGGAACCCCGAGTGCAGAAGAGTGAGTGTCTGGACAAATTTTGAATACAGGAATACAAAGTTGTCAGGTAAGGGACTGTTGAGAGAAGACAGACTGGTCAGGAGTAAAAGTTGGGACAGTTAGGCTCTAGGGAGCGTGCTCTCTTTCTTCAAATGCTTCCCTCTGTGCTTCCTGCTCGCTCTTGTAATGTTGCACCTAAATACTTGGAAAGCTTTTCAGATTTTGTGTGGGAAATTTGTCCCTGGTTTCCTGAAGAGGGGATTGTTGACTTGGAAATTTTGGAAAATGTAGGTAAAAAATTAAAAGATGAATATGAGGCACAGGGTCCACAATCTTTCCCAGTTGACACTTTTGCTTTGTGGAAATCATTCGTGATTGTCTTGATCTCCAGCACGAGTCAATTCGCTTACTACTCGCCATCATTCCAAACCTGCCTTCCATGAACATAAAGGTGGTCAGCTCTCTGTTCCCCCAGAAAAGGACACAACTGTAACTCTAGTTCCAAGGGATCTGAAGCCCTCTTCTGACTATCACGAGTGTTGCATGACACAAGTGCACTTACATATACACAGGCAATATACTCATACACATAAAATAAAATAAAAATAGTAAATAAAATATTTTTTTTTAAAATAAAAATATCCTGGGCAGGGTGGGGCAAGGCCATCCCACACTCCCTGGAGCAGCTCTACCTCACCCGCCAGCCACAGGCCAGCCGTGTGCATGGACTCCAGTTCGGTTCCTTTGAAGATGTACTGGGCATGGGGCACAGGGAGGGGCATCACCAGCATGCTGGTCCCTGGGGCTGCCGAGCCCAACTTTGACGATGTGGAGAATAACCCATACAGCAGCTGGAAGCAGCACCAGGAGTGGGAGGTCAAGGCTCTGCTGGAGAGGGTACCTGCAGAGCTCATTTGTCTGGACCCCAGAGCCTTGGCAGGGGTGGATGCGGTCACTTTGGAGCAGCGAAAGGAGGAGTGGATAGAGAGACTGGGCTACGACCATGATGCCAAGGCTGCCTCCCAACCCAAGTCAAAGCAGAAGGGCCGAAGATCCACAGCAAGCCTGGTGAAGAGGAAGAAGAAGGTCATGGAACAGGAGCACAGGGACAAAGTCCCGCTGAGCCTTGAGCAGCAGCAGCAGTAACACTACCTGGGCCTTTCTGACCAGCACGCCCCCCGGGCCTTGGATAGCCAAGTCAAGCAGCACACGTTTCTCATGCAATCCTGGACTTCCTCTTTGGTTCTCTCAGCTGTTTTTCTTTGAGTTTTCTATCTTCCCTCAAGGACTTTCTAATCTAATGAGATGCCTCAGATTCCCATATACCAGCCACTCTGTGTCCTCAAGTGTCTGAAGCTGCTTCTAAACCAAAGGCAGCAATCAGCTGTAGTTAGAAGAAAAAAACCAGCCACAGTTGAATTAATATTGCCTTAATGTTCTATCTTTCTTTTGAAAAATTATTATTTCATGTGTATGAGTGTTTTGCCTACATGTATGAAGGTGCGCCGCATGCTTGCAATGCTCTCATAGGTCAGATCTCCCGGACCTGGAGTTATGGATAGCAATTAGCTGCCTTGTAGGTACTGGGAACTGAACCCAGGTCCTCTGGAAATGCAGCCAATGCTCTTAATGGCTGAGTTTCTCTCCAGGCCCTGTTTTTTGTCTTTTCATGCTGAGGATGGAACCCAGGGTCATGCGGTTGTTAGTCAAATGCTTTGTCTCCTAGGTACATTTCTTGGTCATTTGAGACCAGATTGTCCTGTAGCCCCAGGTGGTAGACCAGGCTGGCTTCTGTCTCACAGAGATATCTACCTGTCTCTGCCTTTTGAGTGCTGAAATTAAAAGCATCTACCACCATGTCTGGCTATATACAATGTTTTCAAAAAATCATTTATTATTATTTATTGTTATTATGTATGTGTGTGTGTGTGTGAGAGAGAGAGAGAGAGAGAGGAATTGATTCTCTCTTTCCACCTTCTCATGGGCTCCCAGGATGGGTCTCAGATGGAAAGGATTGCATGACAAGCGTCCTTACCCCCACAGCCACCTCCACAGCCCCTTACCAGCCCTGAGAATTTTTATTGGATCAGCTTTCTAATAAAATGCGCCTGATGGAAATAAATGATAGTGTATTGCTGTAGAACACTTGTGGGGGAAACCAAAGCAAAAGACAGCACTTAAAATGTGCAATCCCATCACCCAGAGAGAAACTTTCCTTATTTTTTTTTTTAATTTACAAAACTGAGGCTAATTTGCATTTGGACCATTTTTGTGGCCACATTTTCTCCAACATTTTAACTGTAATGAGACTCTGACAACAACAACAGCTAAGCCCACTGACCAACTGAAATCCCTGCCGGACCTGCATTTTCCACACTGTGGTTGTTTTTGTGGTACTGGGGAATCCTGGGTCCTTGAGCATGCTCAGCAGGTGCTCTACCTCTGAGCTATATCTTTTCACTCTTAATCATATCATTATCTATCCTTTGAAAACATCACTAGCTGTCTTCTTTCTGTGTCATTCTCTCCTTCCTCCCTCCTTTCCTCTCCCCGTTTCTTCTCTATCCCTGTATTCTATCCTCTTTGAATAGGATCTTGCTGTGTAGACCAGACCTACCTTTAAACTACCAGCCCTTTCTCTGCCTTCCCGGAGCTGGGATTACAGATTTTTACCAACCAGCCAGGTGATGTATTTGCTTCTTTAGGCCCCGACTCTTCCTCTGATGAGAACTGGGCAGGCAGAACAGGGTTGGAGTTACACAATTTGACTCTCCTCAGTGATGTGGACTAGGTGCCCCTTAATCTCCATTCCAAATACTCTGATCCCACCTGCTATGGAGAGGGCAAGGGATGTAGGATGAACAGGGTTTCTGAGTCCCATGAACTGAGACAATGTGGTGTAAGAGTTTAATTTCACGAAAACAGTAAACCATGTTAGTTGCTTAGATACCCAAAAGGAGATTCTACCCAGAAGGCCTAAAATTTGTCAACCATAGCATGCTGTTCTCTCCCAGAGATGACGTCCCTTAGAATTAGTTTCTCCAGGGTTCTGAGGAGCTGGCTCAGTGGTAAATTGTGCTTGCTGTACAAGAGAGAAAACCTGAGTTGGATTCCTAGAATACAGTAAAATCCAGATATAGTAGTACAAACCTGGACTTCCAGTGCTCCTATATGGATGGGAGACTAAGACAGGAGCACCCTGGAAGCTCCCGGGCCAGCTAGCCTGGTGTGTGCATTAGCAAACAAGGGACCTTGCCTCAGACAAGGTGGGGAGTGAGGACCAGCACCTGAGATTGTCCTCTGACTTCCCTCCTTGTGTTCCACATGTGGGTACACGAGTTCGTCCACTCACACATATGAACACACTTGCCCACATAGAAACATACAGACACATATAAAGATGACAGAGAGAGAGAGAGAGAGAGAGAGAGAGAGAGAGAGAGAGAGAGAGAGAGAAGAGAATCAGGCTCCCCAGCATCCTGTTGTCCCAGATGAAGCCCATCTCAGGAATGTGCTCTCAATATTCCCACCTGCAAATTGCAGATGATCTGGCATGCCTAATTGCCACTCAGGATGATCACATAGGAAGGAGATGTTATACAAAACACACAAGAATATTCTTAAGTCTGAAGTGAAAAAAAAGCAAACAAAAAGAATCTCTGAATCTATAGGCACAGACCCAGACCACCAAGACAATGAAAGTCCATATTCCAAGGGATGCCACCTTAAACCTGTCCCATTACAATGAACCCATTCCCCACATCTTTTCATTTTCATCCAGGAACCACATCTCAACTCTGATGATGCTCGCTGCCCTCTCATTGTTTCCAAAGGGGCCAAAGAGGTAGATGGGGGAATCGTTCTCTTCTTGTCTCTAACGAGGCTCTGAGGAAATCTGGTCCCAGTGGCCAAAGAGGCTCCTGTAAACACCTACTCCGTGATTGTCCCAAACATCTTTCCTGCTCAGAAGATCAAGCCTCCAAATACTTGCTCCTAATCTGCCCATGTTACAAAGACATCACACTCCTAAGGGAAGCTCTGGCCAGCTAGGTCAAGGTGGACAGAGATGGACACCACCAACCTCCCAGGTAAGGTTTACAGCAGAGGAGACAAACATTTGTTCATTCAGAGCTGAAGTTCTTTTCAGAACTTGCTTTGCAACTTCTTCCAGAGACAGGAAGTCATGATAAAAGTCCAGAATTCATTTGTTGTCACTTGAGATAAACTCTGTACTAGCACCAACAATTTCTTGTGTCTTTTTGAACCTCTAAGGAGTTGGACAAGTCTAAAGTGGAAGGAAAACTGAGCGACATAAGTAGAGATACAGCTAGATTTAGAGACTGTGTTTTCATGTTCCTTATAAACAACAGGACCATGGGATTCATGTAGGAAAATCATCAAAGCCGAGTATTGGAAAGTGGACATATGAGTGGAGGGCACATTCTGTGTTAGCAACTCTGTGTGCTGATTTGTAAACCTGGTTCTGCGTAGAGCCCTGTCACATCCTGACCATCCCCATCTACGTTTTGAATTCACTGTCTTCTATTCTCTAGGGCTCAGACCAGGAGAAAAATGAACCAGTCTCGCGTCTCTGAGTTCCTCTTGCTGGGACTCTCCAGGCAGCCCCAAGAACAGCTTCTCTTCCTGCTCTTCCTCATCATGTACCTGGCCACCGTCCTGGGAAACCTGCTCATCATCCTGGCCATCAGCACTGACTCCCGCCTGCACACCCCCATGTACTTCTTCCTCTGCAACCTGTCCTTTGTGGATGTCTGCTTCTCCTCCACCACTGTCCCCAAGGTGCTGGTCAACCACTTACCCGGGAGTCTCTCCTTTTCTGAGTGTCTCACACAGATGTATTTTGTCTATGTGTTTGCCGACATGGACAATTTCCTCCTGGCTGTGATGGCCTACGACCGCTGTGTGGCCATATGCCACCCCTTACACTATATCACAAAGATGACTCACCAGCTCTGTGCCCAGCTGGTGACTGGATCCTGGGTCATTGCCAACCTGAATATGTTATTACACACTCTGCTGATGGCTCGACTCTCCTTCTGTGCAGACAATATCATCCCCCATTTCTTCTGTGATGTATCCCCTCTTCTGAAACTTTCCTGCTCGGACACACACCTCAATGAGATGATGATTCTCACAGAGGCGTCCCTGATCACGTTCGTCCCATTTGTCTGCATCCTGACCTCCTACATCCAGATCACCTGTGCTGTTCTGAGAGTCCCATCCCCAAGGGGAAGATGGAAAGCCTTCTCCACCTGTGGCTCCCACCTGGCTGTGGTCTGCCTCTTCTATGGCACCATCATCGCTGTGTATTTCAATCCTTCTTCTTCACACTCTGCTGATGGCTCGACTCTCCTTCTGTGCAGACAATATCATCCCCCATTGCTTCTGTGATGTATCCCCTCTTCTGAAACTTTCCTGCTCGGACACACACCTCAATGAGATGATGATTCTCACAGAGGGGTCCCTGATCACGTTCGTCCCATTTGTCTGCATCCTGACCTCCTACATCCAGATCACCTGTGCTGTTCTGAGAGTCCCATCCCCAAGGGGAAGATGGAAATCCTTCTCCACCTGTGGCTCCCACCTGGCTGTGGTCTGCCTCTTCTATGGCACCATCATATCTCTGTATTTCAACCCCTCATCCTCTCACTCCTCTGGGAAGGACATGGCAGCTGCTGTGATGTACACAGTGGTGACCCCTATGCTGAACCCTTTCGTCTACAGCCTGAGGAACAGGGACTTAAAGAGGGCTCTACGGAAAGGATTTTCACAGAAGCACATTTTCTGTCTGATAGAATCTAGACTGATTCTTTTTCTCAGGAAATGATTTTTCCTAGTTAAGATTTAGCAAATGTTTATTATATTCTGGAAAAAGTATCAGGTGTCAGTTCCTGGGAAATTTAAAGGACAATTGTTACTCATATATTAAGGAATCCTCATTTGCAGATTCTGGGTTAATCTATCCATTAATGGGCCTTTGTTGTTTCTTTGGCTGTGAAGATTGTACCCAGGGCATTGCATATGCTTGGTACTGTACCACTGAGCTGTACGCCAGCTCTTGGGATTTCTTTTTAAGCACTGATTTTGGAAATATTTTGATGTTTTGGTTGTTGGCCTTAGCCTTTAGTGGTCCTTCTATCCCTCAAGCCCTAATTTTAGAATTATGTTCAAGTCAAATTTCCCTCTTTTTTGGGGGTCTTTTTTGAAACAGGGTCTCCCTGTAGCCCCAGCTGTCCTAGAACTTCCCATGTAGACCAGGCTAGCCTTGAACTCACAGAGATCTTCCTGCTGCTGCCTCCCAAGTGCTGGGACTAGAGGTGTGTGCTACCACTCCCAGCTTCAAGTTTTCCTTTTAAGGAATGTACTACATATGCATTTGAATATTGTAACCATATAGATTTTTTTTACAATATACTTGCTCTGATACTGAGACTGTAACTCAGTGCTCTGCATTAGTGTGACACTGAAGTTTATAAAACATCTCTGGTGATTGTATGTTTGGTCAGCGGTGCAGAGTTTGCCTTAGACTCTTTCATATGTCCAACTTAATAGTTATAATAAAGGCTCATAAAATTAGTTTTGAGTCTCTTAGGTAGTATTCAGGGACTAATGTGCATGATAGCATTTCAGGGGGGAGTCAGCAGCCCTGGTGGGCGTTTGACCACAGACACCCAGAGGTGAGGAACACAAAATCCTGAAACCCTTCAGGAGCATCCTGACTGGATGGATGACCTTAGGAGCGGGTGTGGCTGAGGTCATGGGTCTGGTATCAGTCTTTGCTGTTTCCTCTGCCCAAACCCACTGCCTGGGTCTCTTCTGACCAGCACTCTACCCAGGCCTTAGAGAGCCACATCAAGCAGCAGGTGTTTCTCATTCAACCCCAGACTCCCTCTTTTGGTTCTCTCAGCTCTGGTTTTCTTTGATGAAGACTTTCCCCAGCTCATGAGATGCCTCAGCTCACACATACTATCCACTTTGTGTTCAGAAGTGTCTGACACTGTTCCTAAATTAAAGAAAACAATCAAGTGTAGTTGGAAGAAAAAAGCAAACAGTTGAACGAGTATTGCCTGATTTTTTCCCTCTTATTTAATTTCATTTATCCTTTGTATTTTATTTTTTATGTGTATGAAGAGTATTGCCTGCTGGTGTGGAAGTGTACCCATGTCATGCAATGCTCACGGAGGCCAGAAGAGGGCATCAGATCCACTGGGACTGAAGTTAAGGACGGTTGTTGGCTTCCATGTGGGTCCTGGGAACCGAGCCCAGGTCTTCTGCGAGAGCAGCCAGTGCTCTTAAATGCTGAGCCATTTCTCCAGCTCTTTTTCTTTGATTTCTAAATTTTAATGTGTATGAGTGTTGTGCCTGCATGTATTTAAGTGGACCCATGCATGCAATGTCTGCAGAGGCCAGAAGAGGGCATCGGATCCCCCTGGACCTGGAGTTACTGACAGTTGTTAATCTCCATGTGGGTCCTTTGCAGCAGTGTCCAGTGCTCTTAACCAATGAGCCAGCTCTTCATCCCATTTTTTTTTCCTTTTATGATAGTAATGGAGCCTAGGTCTTGCACATGCCAGATAAGCACTCTGCCTCTGAACCGCACCTCCTGCTTCCTTTACAGTTCTTGATAGTGCTTATGAATAACCTTTTTTTAAAATGTTTTTTTGTTTTTTTGTTTTCTGTCTTTTTGAGACAGGGTCTCCCTATAGCTCCAGCTGCCTGGAACTCACTATGTAGACCAGGCTGGCCTCGAACTCACAGAGATCCGCCTGCCTCTGCCTCCCTTTTTAGAAGATGTAAAAAGAAACAAATAATGAAAAAAATGTATACACATTCTATCTTGTAGAAAAACATATTAGGAATATTTTTATATCGGATTGTCATCTTTAATCCTTCTTTTCATAAACAGTACTACTATGTTTGGTTTAGCATTAGTTGTGTAAGATCTTACCTATGCATTAAAATTTCTTCAAGGACTATTTTTAGTATGATTGTGCCCACACATTTGGATACAATTGTTTTTAAAATATGGCTGGTAAAATGTACCATCAGGTAAAAGTTCTTTACACCAAGACTGATGACCTGAATTAAATTCCACAGACCCACTTGGTGTCAGGAGAAAACTGACTCCTGTGAGTTATCCTCTGACTTCCTGGCACACTGTGGCATGCACACAGAGATACACACAGACACACTACATACACACAGAGAGACTAAATAAATCAATAACAATAAAATTTTTAAAAAATTTTATTTATTATTATTTTTTATTTTATGTGATGCATGTATTGCGTGCATGTAGGTAAGTGCACCCGTGTCATGCACTGCCCACAGAGGACAAAAGAGGCTGTTTGATCCCCTGGAACTGGAGTTACAGACAGTTGTTAGCTGCCATGTGGTGCTGGGAATTGAACTCAGGTCCTCTGCAAGAGTAGCCAGTGCTTTTGACTGCTGAGCTGACTCTTCCAGGCCTTTGTGCTCTTGACTTGTAGCTGGCATTCTCTCTTGGGAAGTGGTCCTTTTTGTATGTATAGGCACCTACATACCATGGCATATGTACATCTGTTAGCAATTTTTCTTTTCCTTCTACCATGCTTCCCAAGGATCAAACTAAGGCCACCAAGCTTGTCTGGCAAGTGCTTTATACCTGCTGAGCCATTTTGCCATCCCCCATTTGGACATCAACCATAGACCATGCCATTTTAGAAAAATTGGAGAAACAGAACCATACATTTCACTTAAATTTTGCAATACATTCACCCAGATATAAACTTTCTTCTACTTTCCTAAATTTACAAAATTGAAGTTATTCTCCATTTGAAACTTTTTTTTTTTGAGACAGGGTCTCCCTGTAGTCCCAGCTGGCCTTGAACTCTCTATGTAGACCAGACTGGGCTGGATCTCACAGACATCTGCCTGCCTCTTCCTTCAGAGCGCTGAGATAAAAGGCATGCACCGCCATGCCTGGCCCATTTGGAAGTTTTTAACATTAACATTTTCATCTAACATTTTGATAGTTAATGGGATTCTGACAACAAAAATGGTCAAGCCCTGTTACTGACAGAGTCCCTGGTGGTGCTTCCCCTCCAAGCTGGGATGCATTTACCACACTAACATTTCTGAGGTGTGGGAGAAGCCAAGGGTCTTGGGCATGCTCTGTAAACACTCACCCTTTGAGCTATATCCCAGTGTATTTTTTTTTGTCTTTTTTTTTGAGACAGGGTCTCCCTGTAGTTCAAGCTGACCTGGAACTCGCTATGTAGACCAGGCTGGCCTTGAACTCACAGAGAGCCGCCTGCCTCTGCCTCCCGAGTGCTGGGATTAAAGGCGTGCGCCACCACACTCGGCCCATCCCAGTGTATTTTTAATCATATTACTATCCTTTAAAATATTTATTATTTTTATTTTATGTGTATGAATGTATTGCCTGCATGTAATAGGTGCACCCATGTCCTGCAATGCCCAAGGAGGTCAGAAGTAGACTTCGGATCCCCTAGAACTGGAGTTCCCAAAGGTTGTTAGCCACATTGAGGGTGCTTGGAGTTATACCCGGGTCCCCTGCAATAGCAGTCAGTGTTCTTAACTGCTGAGCCGTCTCTCCAGCCCCACAAGTGATACTTTTAAAGATTAGTTAAGGGCTGGAGAGATGGCTCAGTGGTTAAAAGCACTGGTTGCTCTTACAGAGGACTGTGGTTGAGTTCCCAGCACCCACATGGTAGCTAACAACCATCTGTAATTCCAGTTCCAGGGGATCTGACACTCTCTTCTGACCACCTCAGGCATTGCATGACTCATACTATAAAAATAAAAAAGTGTTTTTTTATTTTAATGATATTTTTATTGAGCTTTAAAAATTTCATACATTTCCCACTCAAATCCAGACCCTCTCCCCCATCCATGCCTCCCCCATCCCTCAACTGAACCCTATAAACTCTACCATACATGCTGAGTCCTATTCACCCAGGTGTTTGTACCCAATGTCGTTCATTGTAAATGTGTCCACTGGAGCCTAGTTAGCCCATCCAGTGGTCATATGTAAGTCATACTCTCCCTCACCCAGCAGCAATGCCTCATATAGTTCTCAATCTAGTGCTGGCTTGCCACTTATTTCTCACCTCCCCTTTGGACCCTTGTTTAATTGAACTAACATGGGTCCTATGCTTGATGCTACCGCTGCCACAGGCTCACAATGAGCACGCCTCCAGTGGTCTGGAGGCCTCCATTTCCCTGTGTTCATGAACCAGCCCTGGCTCTTACAAGCTTTCTGCCTCCCCTTCCACAATGGTCCCTGAGTGGTGGGTGGGTGAGGTTCCCTATAGGAGTCCCATCCTATACTCTACAGTCTCTTATTCTCCAAAACTTGGCCAGTTGTGGTCTTCTGTGTGCACAGCCCTCTGATGTACATGGAAGCCTCACTGGTGAGAATTGAGAGGTGCGTTACCCCTCTTTCTGCTCCTTATTCTGCTATGTTCCATGGGCCTTAGTTGTAGAGATTCTACTGCAGATGTGTCACCTAGTACTGGGCATCTCCCAGACATGTTCTCTGTACCTGACCAGATGTACAACTCTGAAATAGCAAAAAGAAGCATCTTTGATGAGTGCTGTACGGCATGCTTATCACTCTAAGGGAGGTGCTCTTCTATCTGGCACTGCATTCCCTGCCAAGCAGCTCCCAGGTATACATATGCATTAATGTTCAGATACTCTATGTGCATTTCTCATAGGGCTTCTAGGGCATCACTTTTCCCTCTAGGTTTCCTAGGTGCCCCAAGATTAACTCATCTCCAGAGACTCTTTTTTTTCTTCCACCTGACGTCCGTACTCCCTCCCTCCCTCCCCCCCTCGGCACAGGGGCCCCATTATCCCCAACCTCCCTCCAATATCCCTCCACTCCCACCCTATTTCCTCTCACGACTTCCCTCCCTCCCCCACACCATGGTCCCTTGCATGTCCCTCCCTTCTCTCCTCCCTGCCAATTATATCACTTGGTGAGACTGTAGGGACGACTCAGCAGTCCAGAGCACTATGTAGGTGCTTTTGTAGAGGACTGGAGCCTCAGTTACCAGGACTCAAATGGCAGCTAGGAATCATCAGCAACTCCAGCTCCAGGAGATCTGACACCCTCTTCTGGCCTCAGTGGGCATTGCACATATATAAAGCAATTACATTCATGCAGGTCATATACACATATACATAAAATAAAAGTAAATCACAAAAAGAATTAAAAAAGAAAATATCTCTCATTATTCTCCCTCCCCTCTCCATCCCCCATGCTGCTCCTCTCCCCTCCTTCTCTCAGCCCTCCTGTACTTCCCTCCTTAGTGTTGGACTTAGAAGTTTACTGCCATGCTTAGCTATGTGCTTGCTTTTAAACATATTTTATTATTTTTATTTTATGTGTATGAGTGTATTGTCTGCATGTGTGTAGGTGCATCCATATTATGCAATGCCTGTGGAAGTCAGAAGAGGGTGCTGGGAACTGATATTAGGAAGATTGTTAGCCATCATGTGGGTGCTGGGAATTAAACCTAGGTCCTCTGCAAGAGCAGTCAGTGCTCTTACCTGCTGAGCCATCTCTCCAGCCCCTGTGCTTGCTTTTAATATCCTGTGATTTTATACTCAGGACTGGACAGGTTGAACAGGGTTGAGATCACACATTTTGGCTGTCTCCATAGTGACATATATTGGATTGTGCATCTTGCAGAGAAAACTGTCCTTCGTAGTATAGTATCTTGACTCCATAGTATCCTGTCACTACATCTTACTATGTGCCCTTGATATTCCTACCTTCAAATTAGAGAGACTATAGCATCATAATCACTTCTGAAGATGATCAGACATGTGAAAGCAACAGTTACACAAAACACAGGAATACTCCCAAGTCTGAAATAAAGATAGAAAAAATAAACATTGCTATCTGTGTCAAAGACCCAGATCACCAAGATCCATGAGGGTTGATGTAGTGAGGGATGTCTATTCAATCAATATGGACACATTCCTAACAGTTTTACATTTTGACCCAAGAGTCGCCCCCAAACTCTGATGATGTTTGTTGCCCTCATTGTTTGGTCCAAAGGGGCCAAAGACACAGATGGGGAATTGTTCTCTTCCTGTTGCTAATGAGGCTCTGAGGAAATCTGGTCCCAGTGGCCAAAGAGGCTCCTGCTTTGGGATTGTCCCACGCATCTTTCCTGTTCAGAAGATCAAGACTCCAAATACTTGCTCCTCACCTGCTCAGGACCTGCCTGTATTATGAAAACATCACACTCCTGAGGGAAGTCCTGTCCAGTTAGGTCAACGTGGACAGCGGTGGACAGCACCAACATCTCCAGGTAAGGTTACAGCAGTGAAGACACAAACATTTGTTTATTCAGAGGGGAAGTTCTTTTAGGAACTTGCTTTGCAACTTCTTCCAGAGACGGGAAATCTTGGTAAGAGTCCAGAATTCATTTGTTGTCACTCGAGATAAACTCAGTAATAACCAATAATTTCTCATGTCTTTCTGAGCCTCTAAGGAGTTGGATAAGTTTGAGGTGGAGGGAAAACTGAGGAACCTAAGCAGACACAGCTAGATTTAGAGACAGTTTGTTTCATGTTCATTATAAAAAACAGAACTCAGGGATTCATGTAGGAAAAGCATCAAAGCTGAGTATTGGAAAGTGGACATACGTGCAGGGTGGGCACATCTTGTGTTAGCAACTCTATGCAAACCTGGTTATGCCTAGAGCCCTACCACATCCTGACCATCCCCACCTAGGTTTTGAATTCACTGTCTTCTATTCACTTGGGCTCAGATCATGAGAAAAATGAACCAGTCGCTTGTCTCCGAGTTCCTCCTCTTAGGACTCTCCTGGCAGCCCCAGCAGCAGCAGCCCCTCTTCCTGCTCTTCCTCATCATGTACCTGGCCACCGTCCTGGGAAACCTGCTCATCATCCTGGCCATCGGCACTGACTCCCGTCTGCACACCCCCATGTACTTCTTCCTCTGCAACCTGTCCTTTGTGGATGTCTGCTTCTCCTCCACCACTGTCCCCAAGGTGCTGGCCAACCATGTACTCGGAAATCAGGCCATCTCCTTCTCTGGGTGTCTCACACAGATATATTTTCTCTATGTGTTTGCTGATATGGACACTTTCCTCTTGACTGTGATGGCCTATGACCGTTTTGTGGACATATGCCACCCCTTACACTACACAACAAAGATGAATCACCAGCTCTGTGCCCAGCTGGTGGCTGGATCCTGGGTCATTGCCAACCTGAATATCCTATTACACACTCTGTTGATGGCTCGACTCTCATTTTGTGCAGACAATGCCATTCCCAACTCCTGTGCTGTGAGCCCCCTCCTGAAACTCTCCTGCTCAAACACACACCTCAATGAGATGATTCTCACGGAGGGGTCCCTGATCATGTTCATCCCATTTGTCTACATCCTGGCCTCCTACATCCATATCACTGGTGCTGTCCTGACAGTCCCACCCTCAAGGGGAAGATGGAAAGCCTTCTCTATCTGTGGCTCCCACCTGGATGTGGTATTGCTCTTCTATGGCACCATTATTGCTGTGTATTTCAACCCTTCATCCTCATACTCAGTTGAGAAGGACATGGCAGCCACTGTTCTGTATATAGTGGTGACCCCCATGCTCAACCCTTTCATCTATAGCCTGAGGAATGGGGACTTGAAAAGGGCCCCATGGAAAGTGGTCCACAGAGAACCTTTTTCTTTCTAATGACAGGATAGAGACTGATTCTCATTCACAAGTCATATTTTTCTCTGGGTACCATGCAGCAATTGTTTCATTACAGTCTTGAAACCAGCATAGGACATCTGTGACTTGAGTACTTAGTAGACAGTGGTTGCTCTTATATTAGTGGACTCCCATTCATTGGGAGTCCTGGTCAATTTATAAAATAATGGAATTTCATATTCTCCTAGGGATGGACCCCAGGGGCCTTGCATATACTAGACAAGGAGTGTACCATTGAGCTACATGTCAGGTCTTGAGACTTCCTTTTCCTTTCCTTCTCCCTCCCTTTGTTTTGAGATAGAGTCCTACTATGTATCCTTGGCTGTCCTTGAACTCAGTATGCACCAGGTTTGTCTGGAAAGCACAGATAATCTACCTGTGTCTGTCCTGAGTGCTTGGATTAAAGGTGTGTGACACCATGCCAGCGAGACTTCCTTTTAATTAATAACTTTGAAATTATTTTTTACCAGTCACGTTGTTTTTCTAAGTATTCTGTTTTGGAAGGTATGTTATATGTGTATATAAGTATTGTAATCATGTGAAATTGTTGTAAAAGATTTATTTGTATTTATATGTATGTCTTTGGGGTTAGCTGGAGAAGCCATGAGAGGGTGTGTCAGAACCTCTGCGGCTGGAGTAATAGGTAGTTTTCAGCCATTTGATGGGTTCTGGGAACAGAAATCAGGTCCTCTGGGAGAGCAGCAAGTACCCTAACTGCTGAGCTACTCTTTAGGCTCATACAGAATATTTTTAGTATACTGTCCCTGATACTGAGACAGGAACTCAGGTGCTCTGCATTGGGGTGACACTGAAGTTTATAAGACATCTCTGGTGATGTGTGTTCAGTCAGAGGTGGAGTGTTTGCCTTAGCCTCTTTCATATGTCCAACTTATGAAAGGCTCATAAGATTACTTTTGAGGCTCTTAGGTAATATTCAGAGACTAATGTGCATGACAGCATTTCAGAGGAAAGTCAGCAGCCCTGGAGGGCATGTGGCCACAGATACCCAGAAGTGAGGACCACACAAGCCTGTAACCCTTCAGGAGCATCCTGATTAGATGGGTGACCTTAAGAGCTGGTGTGCCTGAGGTCATGGGTCTCGAATCAGGAAATTAAATCAGCATTTGCTGTTCCCTCTGTCCAGACTCACTGCCAAGGTCTCTTCTGATCAGCACTACACCCCAGCCTTGGAGAACCAAGTCAAGCAGCATGTGTTTCTTATGTAACCCCGGACTCCCTCTTTGGTTCCTTTAGCTCTGTTTTTCTTTGAGTTTTCAGCAAGAACCTTCCAAGCTAATGAGATGCCTCAGATTCCCAGATACTATCCTCTCTCTGTCCTCAAGTGTCTGAATCAGGTGTAGTTAGAAGAAAAAAACCTAGCAACAGTTGAATTAATAGTGCCTTAATAGTCTATCTTCATTTGAAAAATTATTATTTCATGTGTATGAGTCTTTGAAAGTGCACCACTTGCATGTAGTGCCCTCATAGGTCAGTAGATGGTATCAGATCTCCTAGAACTGGAGTTATGGATAGTTATTAGCTGCCATGTGGGTGCTGGGAACTGAACCCAGGTCTTCTGAAAAAGCAACCAGTGCTCTTAATGGCTAAGGTTCTCCCCAGACCTTGGTTTTTGTTTTGTTTTGGTTTGGTTTGGTTTCTTTTTTTTTTTTTTTTTTTTTTTTTTTTTCTGAAAAGAATCTCCCTATAGCCCCAGCTGGAAGATGGAACCCAGAGCAATGTACTTGTTCGTCAAATGATTTGTCTCTGAGTTACATTTCTTGATCTTTTGAGACAAGATCGTCCTGTAGCCCCAGGTCACCTGGCTGGCTTCTATCTCACAGAGATATCCACTTGCCTCTGCCTTTTTTAAAAAGTGATTTAAAAAAATTATTTATTATTTTTATGTTGTATGTATGTATTGCCTTCATGTAGGTAAGTGTACCCATGTGGTACAATGCCCGAGAAGGTCAGAAGAGGCTGTCAGATCCCCTGGGACTGGAGTTACGGGCAGTTGTTAGTTGCCATGTGGGTGCTGGGATTCGAACCCAGGTCTTCTACAAGAACAACCAGTGTTCTTAACCACTGAGCCATCTCTCCAGCCCTTGCCTCTGCCTTTTAAGTGCTGGGATTAAAGTCATCCTACCACCATTTCTGATTGTGCATAATGTTTCAAAAATTCATTTATTATTATTATTGTGTGTATATGTGCATGCGCCCGAGAGAGAGAGAGAGAGAGAGAGAGAGAGAGAGAGAGAGAGAGAGAGAGAAGTGTGTGGAGTTGATTCTCTCCTTCCACCTTCTCATGGGTTCCCAGGATGAAAAGGATTGCATGACAAGTGTCCTTACCCCACAGCCACCTCGTCAGCCCCTTACAATCTCTGATAATTTTTATTGGATCAGTTTTCTAATAAAATGCAAGAAGTTACACAATGAAAGAAAAATGTCTAAGGAGTAAAGACCCAGCAATGCTCTTGGGGGCTCTCATCACTGCGTTCGTCTTTCACACAGACACCGTTACTCTAATTACATCTGGTTCAACATTTTTTTGTGTGTCAGATTTTACCAATACCATTAAAATTTTTTCAAAAGTGTATTCCTTTTGTGATTATGGTATGGATGTTGCATCGGATGGAAATAAATGATAGTGTATTGTTATAGAACACGTGTGGGAGAAACAAAAGCAAAGGCAGCACTTAAAATGTTTCCAAGATAGAAACTTTCCTTACTTTTCTAAATTTACGAAACTGAGGCTAATTTGCATTTGGACCATTTTTTGTGGCCACATTTTCTCTAACATTTTGACTGTAATGAGACTCTGGCAACAACAACAGCTAAGCCCACTGACCAACTGAAATCCCTGCTGGACCTGCATTTTCCATACTGTGGTTATTTTTGTGGTACTGGGGAATCCTGGGTCTTTGAGCATGCTCAGCAGGTGCTCTACCTCTAGCTATATAATATCACTTTTAATCATATCATTATTTATCCTCTTTGAATAGGATCTTGCAACATAGACCAGACTTACCTTTAAACTACCAGCCCTCTTGTCTCTGCCTTCCCAGAGCCTGGATTACAGATTTTTACCAACCAATCAGGTGATGTGTTTGCTTCTTTAGGCCCTGACTCTTCCTCTGATCAGAACTGGGCAGGCAGAACAGGGTTGGAGTTACACAATTTGACTCTCCTCAGTGATGTCGACTAGGTGCCCCTTAATCTCCATTCCAAATATCTCTGATCCCACCTGCTATGGAGAGGGCAAGGGATGTAGGATGAACAGGGTTTCTGAGCCTCACTGCCCTGAGATGATGTGGTATAAGACTTCTATTTCAGTAAACTGTGTTAGTTGAGAGATACCCAAAAGAGATTCTACCCAGAGGGCCTAAAGTTTGTCAACCATACCATGCTGCTCTCTGCCAAAGCTGAAGTCCGTTAGAATCAGGTTCCCTAATGCCCTGAGGAGCTGGTTCAGTAGGTGATTTACTCACTGTACAAGACAGAAGACCAGAGTTGGATTCCTAGAACACAGTAAAGGCCAGATATAGTAGTGCAAGCCTGGACTTCCAGTGCTCCCATGTGGGTGGGAGGCTAAGACAGGAGCACCCTGGAAGCTCCTGGGCCAGCTAGCCTGGCAGGTGCATCAGAAAACAAGGGACCTTGCCTCAAACATGGTGAAGAATGAGGACCAACACCCGAGATTGTCCTCTGACTTCCTCGTGTTTCACATGTGGGCACATGAGTACATGCACTCACACATATGAACACAATTACCCACATAGAAACATTCAGATACACACAAAGATGAGAGAGAGAAAGTGAGAGAACAAGAGAGAATTAGGCTCCCCAGTATCTTGTTGTCCCAGATGAAGCCCATCTCAGGAATGTGCTCTTAATATTCCCACCTGAAAATTGCAGATGATCTGGCATGCCTAATTGCCACTCAGGATGATCACATAGGAAGGAGATGTTATACAAAACACACAAGAATATTCTCAGGTCTGAAAAGGAAAAAAAAAAGACAAAAAGCAAACAAAAAGAATCTCTGAATCTGTGGGCACAGACCCAGATCATCAGAATAATGAAAGTCCACATTCCAAGGGATGCCATCTGACAGGTCTCCATTAATGTGGACCCACTCCCACATCTTTACATTTGGACCCAGAAATTGCACCTAAACTCAGATCCTCTTTGTTGCCCTCATTGTTTGGTCCAAAGGGGTCAAAGAAGTAGGTAATGAATTGTTCTCTTCTTGTCCGTAATGAGGCTCTAAAGAAATCTGGTCCCAAAGGCCAAAGAGGCTCCTATAAACTCCTGCTCCATGATTGTCCCGCTCAGAAGACCAAAACCCTAAATGCTTGCACCTCCCTCACTTAGGAACTGCTAACTTCCAAGACATCACAATCCTTGCAAATAAAGAGAAGTCCTGGACATTTAGGTCAAGGTAGACAGCAGTGGACAGCACCAACCTGCCAGGTAAGGTTACAGCAGTGGAGACACAAACACTTGTTCATTCAGAGGTGAAGTTCTTTTAGGAACTTGCTTTGCAACTTCTTCTAGAGACAGGATGTCATGATAAGTTACCAGAATTCATTTGTTGTCACTTGAGATAAACTCAATACTAAACAACATTTCCTTGTATCTCTCTGAGCCACTAAGACCTTAGATAAGTCTCCAGTGGAGGGAAAACTGAGCAACATAAGTAGAGACACAATTACTTTTGGAGAGAGTGTGTTTTCATTCCAAAAACAGGACTCTAGTATTCATGTAGGAAGAGCATCCAAGTTCAGTATTGGAAAGTGGACATATGGGTGGGGTGGGTACATACCGTGTCAGCAACTCTATGAACTGATTTGTAAATGTGGTTCTGCCTAGAGCCCTATTACATCCTGACCGTCCCCATCTAGGTTTTGAATTCATTCTCTTCTATTCACTTGGGCTCAGACCAGGAGGAAAATGAACCAGTCATTTGTCTCTGAGTTCCTCCT